TGGCCCAGACAATGGTGGTGGCAAGAAGAAGGGACAATATACTCCATACCTATTAGATTCTGGCAGCAATAATGAGAAAGAATTTGAGGAACAATCACAGCTAATGGCAGTGCTGGCAAGAAGGTAGATAGGCTGACTGAGGAGGGGAGACCATGGAAGGTGTCTTCTCCAAGGGTCTCCAAAGCCTAAAGCTGGCAGGCTGTAAGGAACAGTGGAGGGTGTTGTGCCTCTAACCCTAACCCTTTGCTCATTAAGCTAAGCCGGTGTGTTCCCCCCGGTCACAGTGCAGGGTGCTGTCCCATGGCCAGTGTTGATGTACGGTTCTTTGTTTGCATGTTTGTTTTTTACACCAGTCTGGTTGGCTGTGCAACATGGAATGGGGTGCAACATCTTTCCCTGGGGAAGGAGGTGGGGAAAGAAAGGGTGGCAGCTCTAGGCAGCCTGAACTATCATCCTCAGAGAAGGGGGCTATCTTAGGGCCATCGGCTGCATAATTCTGACCTTGAGCTCAGGGTCTTTTTCCTCATAAATTGCCCTGGATTGAGAGGCCTGATCAGGCTGTGTCAAAAAAGCTCCTCTCTAGCAGATGGACATTTATCACTGCATCTCCATGCTAAGGAAAGCTTAATGCCTTGAATTTCTGCTTCTCAGGCTATTTTGGTCCGGGGAATGGGGGAGGGGGAGAGAATAGCTTGGACAGCCCTGTGCTAAAGGCCATAGAATCCATAGTGCAAACTATAGACTTGATTTTAAATTGCACTTCAAAGTTACAATCTCATGATTCAGTAAAAGCTTTTGATGATAAAACATTTTGGGCTCAGAGCTGGAATGCTTCGCCTCTGGCAATTATCAGGGTCCTAAGTATGTGCCTTTGTGTCTTAGTAGTTTACAAGACTGGGGGAAATGGTGAATGGCTATTTGGCTGGAACTTTTTTTCCTTTATTTTCTCTAGCCTATATCTATAACCTTTCTAAGGAGAGTTCTTCATCAGATGTACAGTTACATCAGCACATACCAGATATATCCAGGATAGCTTGCATCAAATGCAGTGCAATCCTATGTACGACTACTTAGAAGCCCCACTGAGTTCAACTGGTCCTGCCCCCAAGAAAACCTACAAAAGTCTCAGTCAGCACTGTGCTATGGGACTTTTCAGTTTTTTAAAATGCATCCTGGTAGTGTTACAGCCGTAGCATTCAAAGCACTGTAAAGTTGGGTGGGCTGCCTTACACACCACTCAGTGCTCAGTAGAGTTGTATAATTTTGCATGAGCAAGCTGCAGAAAATGCATCCTAATTACTTTATCTCCTAACTCTCTTGCCTGGAATTTAATTCCTTCTTGTTGGAATTTTCCTTTTGTTCCTGAGCCCTTGATGGATAAATCAACCCACTCAGCCTGGCAGCCTTCTCTCTCCACCTCCCCTGACACAGAGACATTATTTTCCTGTTAGTAATTTGTTTGGGTTTCTCTTGAAAAATACAGTAGGTGATGGTAAAGTGCTTCCTTTGTTTGATATCAGGAATATCTGATGCAAGAATGTCATAACCTAGTTTTTAATGGCCCCCAGGCAGAAAATCCTCATGATTGACTAAATGTGTAGTAGTACCTTGACTAGGGAAAGGTTTTGCCCTGATTAAAATTAGTGCTTACAGATAGGATGATTAAATGGGAGCAGTTGGAATAGTTACCCAAATTAGGCTGTAAGTGCCCACCAAATTAATGTAGGCTACTCTCTAGCAAGACTGAGAGGAGGCCTGTGGTTCTGAAAAAGCTGGCTATTTGATTATTAATTTGCTTGCCAGAATAATCACTGCTGGATTTACATTTGATATATGAACGCACTCTGAGTATAATAACTGCAAGGGGGAAAAAAAGTCTGCTTTTGCCCCAGGATGTAAGTCCGATTCATCAAGGTTGTTGACACATGTGCTGTCCTTGCACAGGGGCAAGACTGGAACCAGTATGAAAGCCTTGAACACTCATAAACCATGGATCAGAAGCTGGAAAGTATAACAGCAAACACAATATCGCACAGTACTAGAAAACAACTTCAAGAGATGACAGGTGATGCTAACATCTACAGATACATGCAGCTTATGATATATCAAGGTCCATAAGTCCACAAGAGCTCAGGATTCCCATTAATGCATATAAACTATTCTAGTTAAACCAGTATTCTGTTGGGATTCATTATGGATTATCTTTAAGAACCCCTAATTCTTAGGATGGGGGAAACCACCAAACAGAAAACACAAAACATTTGCTGTATTAAGAAAATCAATGACATTGTTTCTCATACACTGCTCCACCCTTGTGCACGGGAAAAATCAGTAAGAAGAAGCAGAACACAAGTTGGGAGAAGCTGCACTTTACATTTATAAAGGTATAATGAATTCTCTTTGATGAAGGGGACTGTGAAAATAGCAAACTTATAGTCTGGAAAATGGACAATATGGCTGCCTTTTGATTAAGGTACAGTGTCTGATATGTACATTCATGCAAGAAACATGAAATATGCTATATATTCCACAAATGTGCTTTTAATCCAGAGTATTTTGATTGTTCACTTGATTGCCAAAAAGACGACTTAAAAACCCACATGCCTTCACCTTTAAACATATATATCCTCCTCTTCTCTTCATGAAAATCCCCTATCTTCATGCAAGTTGCCATCCCTGATCTTAAAACTACTTACACATCTAAGCCAAACTATCTAGATGCAAATTCTACAAAAATGATGGCCTACCATTTACAGTGCAACCCTAAACAAGTCTACTCAGAGGCAAATCCCATTAAATTCAACACAGCTTACTCCCAGGATGACAATCTAAACTACTTAATTAAAAAAAAAAAAAGCAGGTATTTTATTCCAGCCTTCCAAATCCAACAGGCTTCATACTAGAACAACACATTTTATATGAGTACTCCAGATTTTTATAGTACTAAAATTCTTTAGTCAATATCTGAATGCATTTTAGCAAACATTGGACTGAAGGAGATGCCAGAAAATTGTGATTCTAAACATTCTTACCTGTCATTAAGTCCTAGTGCACACAGTGGGATTTATTTCTGAGTAAGCATAGAAAAGATTATGATGTAAAAGTGTTATTTTCATAACTATTATTTATTATAAGGTGCAGAATATTGGCTGATTTAATTCCCCAGTGATGAAGAATATTGAAAAGCATTCCTATCGTTTGCTTTTTTTATACAAATGCATAAACATCTGAGTTTGTTCCTGAGTGCCAGAGAAATGGCTTGTGGATTACATGGCTAACATCAATTATAGTTGCCCTCTTTGAATTCCTCTGCCTAATAGCCTTAAAAGATCTCACCACATGGGTAGGAACAATTAGCAACTCTGTGGGGTCCAGAGAAGCTACAGTTCAGGGGGACCTTATTGACATGAGCTAATCAAGCTATACGGTTGGGAAGGGCTTGAAGGACGATAATGATCTTTGTTCTAGTTTCTAGTGGTCATTTAATCTCCACGAGGTGTTTAATCAGCAATGATGGTCAATTCAGAAATGGTCCTTAAAAAAAGAAAATAAAGGCCCGATCGGGTTGGTTAATCGTGCCTTTAATTTTTTCTTTTCGGATTCCACCGAACAACTCATGCCCTCTCTAATCTTCAATTAGCCAGCACCAGTCTATCGCCTCCTCGCCTCGCCCTAGTTCAGCAAAGGGCAAGCAGAAAGCTCTGCCCTCATTGGTCCATCCCTTTTGATGTGGAAATCGGGCTTTTTTTGTGTATCTTGTGCCCTCGCTGAAGGTGAGCGTGGAAAGACTCGATGGGAGGCATCCAGGGAAGCTCCGCAGTTCACAATTCGCAACCCCCTTGGATCATTAAAGATCGAAAAGAGATCATTAAAGAGAAAACGGGGCAGTGGCAGGAAAAATCTGTTCAGACTTTTACGTGCCGCAACCCACATATCATCTTCCCCAGACTTATCGCCTCAGAAGAAGTGACACTGCTGATTATGGAATTGTGGCCACCCTCTTGGGGGTTCGCTTACGGTGGCAGCAATCACACCGAAGCATTTTTGTCCTCTGTCGCCTTCCATTTACTCGAAGCTGGCGCAACGAGGTCCCAGGGAAGGGGGTGACCAAGTTTTTTCCTTCTACGCCCCGACCCCGCGACTTCAGCTCGCTGTGGTCGAGATCCTGGGCACCCCCGCCCCCGGGGGTTTATCAGTAGAGCTTCCTTCAGAACATGCACAAAGAGAGGTGCTCCAAGGGAAGGAGCGGTGCTGAGTCTTACAAATTCCGTTCCATCTTAGCGGCATTTTGCCTGGAAGTAAGTTCCACTACTTTCAGTGGTGCTTACTCCCAGGTAACTGCGCGTGGGATTGCAGTCAAAGCTCACGTGGAAGTGGAGTGTCACGGCACACAATTGCAGGCTTCTAATTTACGCCCCTGGACTAATGCATGTTTACTCGAAGTAACTCCCATTGAGATTAATGGAACTTAACTGCCAGGAGGAAGAGACGCAACGGAGTACAGCCTGAGTCCCTGGGAGCTCTACTTGAGCTACTAAGGTCAACGTGCATAGGATCGGGTACAGTTTGACTACAGCTGTAAGTGCACGTTTTGGAGCAGCTTCAGTGGACTCAGATGTGTGTTTAAGTCACATCAGACTCCGCTTGGAGAGGTCATTCATTCATTGCATCGCAACTGAGAGAACTTCCCTGACGTCCAATGAGCGAACTGCTTCGCGGGGTGGGGTGGGGGATAAGTTTCTCCCCTGCTTGATGATTGCTTTGTAATCCCATCCTCGACCGTGCTGCGTGCCCTCTTCTCCTCCCCCACCCGAAGGGGCGGGAATACCCGAGGACCCCGGAGAGTATAAAATCAGTGCAAAGGGAGCCAGCTGAGACACTTGCTCCCACCACGCAGATCCTGACTTTCTCGGAATTAAGTTCACGCCTGCTGAGGCGCGGAGAGGGCTGGCGAGTTGCTTTCAGGTCCCGGCGAATTCGAACCCTCCTCCGTCGTGAAGATGTTGGTGCCGCACGCAGCGGGATCCTTGGCAGCGGCGGTGGCTGCCTTCTGCTTCTCCCTCGGGGCCGTGGCGAGCGCCTCTTTCAACGCGAATGTGCTGCAGTCCAACTCCATCAAGAACCAGCCGCTTGGAGGCGCTGCGGCATCGGCAGGCTCGCCTGCCAGCACCGTGCCAGGGCTGTCCGAGGGGGGCAACAAGCACCAAGCCGGCGATCCGTACCAGGTACGTGGCCGGCTTGCTAGCTGGGCAAAGGACGCGGGGCTCTGCGGCGGCTTCGAGTGCTTGGAGCTGCGAGGGTCCTCCGCCTCCTCCTCACCTGCGCTCTCCACTCTTTCTTTTCCCTGTAGCTCTCCGTATGCACCGATGACGAGGACTGCGACGCCGACGAGTTCTGCTCCGCCACCATCCGCGGGGGCGTCCCCGGGGGACAAGTCTGCCTCGCTTGCCGCAGGCGCCGCAAGCGCTGCTTCCGCGACGCCATGTGCTGCCCGGGCAATTACTGCAGCAACGGTAAGCGCGGGTCTGTCTGGCGCCGGCCCTGCGTGGGCCCGACCTGCTTGACGCGAAGGAAGCTGGGCCAGAGGGCGCCCGGTCAGTTCAGTGTCGTTTGCCGCAGCCTGGGGCCCTCCGGGTGCTTTGGACTACAACTCCCAGCAGCCTGTAACTAGCACTGGAGTTAATATAACCGAGGAATCCTGGGAGCTGTAGTCTAGCACATCTGGAGGACAGCTGGATTAGAGGGGGCTGTGTTGGTGCTTGAGGAAAAGCTGGTCAAAGAAACATGGGGGTATTTAACAGTACCCGGAAAGTTGAGCTGGCTGCAGGTGTTGCATTATGGATTGAGCTCTCTCTGGCTGCTGTCCTGCTTGTGGGAGGCCTTTCTTGTGTTAAGTGAGGGGTAGGTCTCCAAGAACCAAAACATTTTGTATTACTTCTGTTAGTTTGAGCTGGTGGCTTTGTCAGTTGCGCCAATGTTAGGGGTAGCATAAGAGGGGTTTTGAGCAAAACCTTTAGGCTATAATCATCCTTATGTCCCATTCAACATGTAGGGTTATTTCTGTGTCAACATACATAGGGTTTTACCGTTAATAAGATACAGGGGTTACCTTTACTGGTAAGCCCTGCTCTTCTCAGGTGGGCTGTAGTAAATCTTTGAGAGAAAAGCTGCTTGTACTTAGAGGCACCCCACGGCGGTTGAGGCAAACTGTTTATGTGCCATGTTGCGAATAGAGCCTGGCCATTGGTCTCTGTCAGAGTGTTGTCCTTCTACCTGTCGACAGGTGTTCAGAAGTAATTTCTCGTCTTGTTAACTATCTGATCCTCATACCTGGAGTAACAGGGAACTGAAAGTGCACCTCCAGGCCATGCAAACCCTGTTCTTTATCGCTTGGCTATTCTCTACCCTAAAGTTGGGCCAAGACTGGAATGTTGTTTTTAAATTAAGATTTGAAAGGATACTCTGAATTTGGCCTTGAAATAAAAGGCCTTGAGATTGAAATAAGAGAACTACCAAAACTATTGAGTAGGCAGCAGTATTAAGACATAAGAAGGGTTTGAAATTTCAGGCAAGATAAGCGACCTTTCTGCAAACGTGTTTGTAGACTACCAGATACTGCTTAACCTTAACACAGAAGGCTATCAAAAGTATCTATTTATTCAAGGAGTTTGATTTATTTCTTACTAGGAATATGTACTCCAGTGGAACATGATCAGCTTCATCCTGGGGAAATTGATGAGACTATCATAGAGGATTTTGACCATGACACACTTGACCCTCATTTCAGAAGAACTACATCTTCATCCCAGCTGCACCATCCAAAAGGTAAGGCTGTTCAGAGTAAGCTGCTAGACAATCAGGAAGGTGACAGTATGGTAGACCTGGATAAAGGCCCATTTGGAGTAGCTGGTATGAGGCCAAGGGCTGATCAAGTTGTGATTCGTGCTTTCTGGAGGCTGAGCTGCCTACATTGTAGAAGTAACTTTTGAAATCAGAAGTGTAGTTCAGTCCCTTCTAGACATCCATGTAGAATGCCTTCGAACAGCTGCCTTCCCCTGTTAGGGCTTTCTCTGCAAGCCCTTTCAATTCTGTTGATCTCAGCATCTTGAGTACCCATCTTCAGCATTTGGGAAAGTTTTTGTGATCTATGTTGGAAAGTTTGTATTGGTGTGCTTTTCAACCTTGTTGCAGTAAGTAATGTGCCCAGAATGATGCATCCATGCTAGCAACTCTTGAGTAGCACTATCAGGTCACATACTACATAGTGTTGCTGTTGGACATTGTTGGAAAAATATGTTGCTTGCTCACATCAGTTAGCAAACTTGATGCTGTTAGCACAATTGTTTATATGCTATATGAATCTGATACACAAAACTCTGCATTACTGATGTCTAAAGCATGTACTTGGTGTTTGTGGCTCTGGCCAGGCCATGAATTGGCATGAACCAAGCATACATCCTGTTATGACCCTTTAAGTAGCAGTGAAAATATCTTCCAGGGGGAACTTCTGAAACCTCAGTTTAGTCTCCTTCTTTCTCTCTCCTGCTCTGTATTTTTTTCAGCGGGAAATTGGAGGGGGTAAGTAGGTATGCAGTGTTCTCATTTATCTTTTCCTTCCTAAGGTCAAGAAGGTGCCACATGTCTCCGCTCTTCAGATTGTGCCGATGGGCTGTGCTGTGCCCGCCACTTCTGGTCCAAGATCTGTAAACCTGTCCTTAAGGAAGGTCAGGTGTGCACAAAACACCGCAAGAAAGGTGCCCATGGCTTAGAAATCTTCCAGCGCTGTCACTGTGGGGATGGATTGACTTGTCGGGTGCAAAGGGACCACACAATCAGCAACTCTCCCAGGCTACATACTTGCCAGAGGCATTAGCTGCTGCTGCTTTTTGCCAAATCTGATGGACTTGAGAATTTGGTGAGGTGTTGGACACTCTTTCTATGGTCTCCAAGGACTGAGACACTTCAGAGTTTACACTAAACTACTCCGGCAACTTCCCCTCTCTGAAACTGGAGTATGAGGCATGTTTCTTTAGGGAACTATTTTTCAAGTGACTAATTGCAGTAAATTACTGTGTCTGTAAATTCTTGGGCGTGGCACTTAACACTTAACTGTACATGATACAGGATTTTTGCTAAAGTGCTGCGTGATCTCAGTCTATTGTGACATTATGTTGTGTACACTGGTTTTATTGTATTGAACCTATGACTTTTTGCAAGTGAAATAAATTGGTTTTAACTCTTAATACCTGGTGATGCTTCTGTGAGTTGGAACAACCAGGGCTATTCCATATGATACTGTCATACAGCATTGTCTGATTTCATAAGGGGATAGGCTAGGAAAGTACTAACTAAAACTTCTGCATTCTCCAGTAGCAATTAATCTAGACAATTTTTGTTGTCAGCCTATATTGTTCCATGGTTTATACTGGTCTGAAGAACATTTTGAGAACTTTTGAGTAGGACCGGCTTGGATTACACAGTCTGTACTTTTGGATTCTTACTAGTAACAAAGGATTTTCTTCCCTACTCTTGGAAACTTGAGAAAGTACATAAGTATATTGCATCTTTTGAGTTATAGTATTTGCAGTATCTCTGAAAACATAGGTTTAGCTACAGTCAAACTAGGTTGAAGGGTATATTGTGTGTGTGGTATACAATGTAAACTTTCCTAGTGCAGTCCCAATATAGTTGATTGGTCACCTTCAAGATGGGATCAATGAATCCAAGTATAGCTATGAATATCATGTTTCAAGTTGTATGGAAGAATTATTCCCACATGAGTACCTGCTTTTCCCTTTTCCTCTGGATTTAGAAAATCATACGTGCTTCCAAGAATGCAACTTCCATTGATTTATATCCTACTTTAGACAAATTTCTCAGTGAATCAGTTTCCAAGTATAAAATGGATTCATTCACTTAGTTTTGAAAATCAAGCCAAAAGTAACAAATAGCTACTTTTCATGTGGCCCCAAACTTTCTATGACTTCGTTATTGGGCAATTTGTGAATATCTTGTGGAAGGGTGTGGTGAGTTTTGCAATGTGGTTTGTGATAATTTTGAGCTGTTAAGCCCGTTGTTCAGTTCTCCTCCAGTCCATCTCTGCCAAAAAGACAGAAGCTAGGGTGTACTGAGTGTTCTGGTTAAGCAATTTTTTCAGTGATTACTAATGGGACAAACAAATCCTTGAAGAATGGAGTTTTTCTGATTGCATGAGTCCATGAAGTTTATCACTGCATCTGGTATTAAGAAATATCCCAAACCTGGTGGGAAGTATATAAATAGGGTTTCTGATGCTACTTGTAGTTCCCTCTCTCAAATGGATCTGATCACCGTTTTCTTGCCTTCCGTGCTCTGTTTAAGCGAATGACCTGGCTGTGTGACACGTCTCTGGAATGCGTGTGCATTTGGCAGCAGCCTGTGCTGGCACTTGTTGAAGGTGAGGGAGGTTGTGGGGTGGGGGCTTGTCTCAATCAACCAAGTCCTTTTTTTGCTTCAGACATGCCCAGCTGCTTCATCAGACTCCAGTTCTCAAGAAATTTCAATCAATGGCTTGAAGGGCTTTGTTATCAGGATGCTATCAAAGCACAGGAAATGCAGTTATGACATTGCCTTGTGGAGCAAGTGGAGGGGTGGCATATATTTAACCAGAAAGATTCATTCTCCTCCCCCACCCCCAGGCTTTTCTTTGTCCCAGGAAGATGCAGTTTGCTTTGCAGAGATCTGCAGCTGGGGTGTCGGGAAGACACAACAGAGGAAAGGAAACAGGAAACCACTTGCTGCCAAATGAAGAAAACAGATCATTCGGAGGGAGATGACTGGCAGCTCCTTAGAGAGGGCAAAGCTGTTAAGTGATCTCGTTTCTAACCACATCCTCCTTTCCTTCCGATCCCCCACGGCCACTAGCAATGCTTTGGATCAGATTCACCTGTGAATCCTTGGGTGTGATAAGGCAGAAACCCTTATACTCAACAGCAGGTATGGAAGGGAGAGGAATGTACAGAATGGAACTGAATTAGGTAAGTGGCAAGGAGAGTAAAATCTGCTTCTCAAGAGAGGTGGTTTTGCAGCTGAAAGCTTTTAGTTAGTTACACCCATGAAGCATCTTCAGTATGTGTTATGGAAGAAGTCCTATTGGCATTCGTTTAATTATTCATTCAAGTAGGTTCCAATGTTGCAGTCTTTCAAACCAAGCCAAACCAAACCAAAATCATTACAATAGGTGTAGCTGGAGAAAGCCATTCCGCTGCATTTTGGACTGTACTTTGGAATACACAGCACAGGGACTGCTGAAAAGAGCCAACTCGTGTTATTCCACTTCCCTTGAGCGTGGCCTTTTCATAAATCAGAGGATTGTATGCATGCTTACTCAGAAGTGTCTTGCATGGGATTTTACTTTTACATATGTAAGTTCTTTAGCCCAATTCTTTAGATGTTTAGGTATGCCTAATGAACACAATGGCTTTGATTCTCTTTATAGGATTGGACTGTTAAATGCAACTAACTGTTTCAGAGCTCATGGAGACTGCCTCATAGCTGACTTCACTTAAGCCTTTCCTTTCAGGAAAGCAAACCATGAGATGGATGGACTTGAACCCCTGCTCCCCTCACTCCAGTGAATGACGCCATCTTCATCTGTGCCTCTTTCTGTTTTAGCATCCTATGTCAGTGATGCCTGTTATGCAAACCAGATTGGCACATTGATGTGGGTTGTCTTCCAGCTGTGGTATCTTTTTGAAGGCAATTCTACTTTTATAGGAACACCCAGCGTAAGAGTTCTGCAGACATGAAACATGCTCACTATGTGACTTCACTCTGCTTGCATCCCATTTCAAGCTGCAGCTCATACCTTCAGCTTCCCTTTAACATCTAATAGAACATGAATAAAATTGAAACAGTGCCCAATGCTGCCTTGGCTTCCATATGCTCAGGACCACTTCTATTAAGTTCTTAAGGGGGATGTAGGCCTTGTTTCCTGCCAGATATGCAATCCTATGCATGTTTAGACGGGAAAAGGCCTATGAGTGGCTGGCTGGAGCATGCTTGGAGATGCAGGCTGTTTTTCCTGTTTAAATATGCTTACATTGCATCCCTCTGTTCCTACGTGGTGTGCTTGCAAGTGTGGGTCCTATCAGAAACATTAAAGTGAATTCTCATCTATCAAATTCAGCTGTTGCCTAACTAAATTTGCTTATGTCCTGTTGATGGGAGGCTTACACTGAGCTGTGTGTGCACAGTTTGCATATTTAGTAATGCAATTCTATTCCTCCTCTTTTTAAAAAAATGCTATAAAATATACTTCAGGAAAACACCAAATTATCCCCCAGACTTCTAGTCCTTTTTTCCCAGTCCATGGTTGTGAAGGCGCACTTGAACTCTATAGCCATACAAAGAAGCAAACTTCATAAATATTTTGAAAGGACAAAAGGTAACCATGGGGTCACCAAGAATATATATAGGTATGAAGCCTCACTTACTACCGAAATGAATAAAGAAGGTACAACATCATGAAATCCCTTGGATAAAGAAAGTTGAGTCCATGACTGGATAGTGAATTGTTGAAGGAAATAAAGAAGAACATATGAACTAACAGATTTAAAAATATTGCATTCATGAAAGTAATTAACACAGGCCATCTCTGCTACTGGGGAGGGAAAGGCCCTACTTTAGAGAGGACTATTTTCTGTTTCAGTGACTTTCAGAGGAGTATTCTCTGTTTCACAGTCCCCCCCCTAGTTTAAGGACTGCCTGTTCCATATTTAGAATAAGGATTTTAAAAAATCATAAAAAGCCAGGACAGCCACAGCTTTGAAGGTGAACATCAAGAGTTGATATCTAAATAGCAGATTGTGTAGGCCTGCAAATTAGTTACCTAGTCACAATCTTTCTCATTATGGTGAGACATATCACATTAATAAGGGTATAGTAACTATTTCTCAATGTGCTTATCAGTTTGCATTAATGGTTTAAGCTGATATACCTGCTGTATATTTTATTTTATTGTATGAATTCTATATGGTACTTTATTTTGTATTTTGTTGTTGTAACCTGTCCAGGGAGCCTTATGGCTAATGTGGCAGGTTAGAAATTACATATATAAATAAATGATTCTGATATTGGTTTTATTCTGCTACTGTCACATTAGGAATAGTAGCTGCTGGACCATTTTACTTTATTCAGGCTTTTATTCTATTTTAGTTATAAGGATATTTTATCTGGTTTTATTAATTGAATGTTAAACTTATGTCCCCTTATATTGCTTTTATTGTTTTGCTTTTTATGTGTTTTATTATGTATTGTTCAAATGCATTGTAATTGTATCTGTTGCTGAATAATGTCTTGTGAACCACCCAGAGAGCCTTAAGATAAAGATGGTCTCCCTAATGTTACTTTTGAGTTTAGAAACTTTAAAAAATAGAAACAGATTTTATGTAGATAAAGATAGTATTTTATACAATATTATGAGGAAGAGTGCGATGCTACAATACTATGAGGAACACATTTAGGCAGAAGAAAGGCTTCAAATTCCCAGCATGAGCAGCTGGCCAACTGCAATCAGGAGAATATGATGATGATATTTATGTAGAACCAGAACTTTCTTTTTGTAAATGTTAGTAGTATCGAGTTCTATTAAAGAGAACACACACACAGACACAGAGCAAGAGAGCGAGCCTTATTATCAAGCCCTCTTGTAATCTATTATTATTTCTCCAGCCTTTTAGAAACAGTACACAAGGTGGGCGTGCCTAATGTACCTACTGTAATACAAATGTCATTAACGGGATATCTCCCAACTATTTGGACTTGCAAATACTTTCTTGTATGGACTGTAGAATAATAATGCAAAGCTGATTCAGTTGCAGTTGCAAAACTGAATGCACAGTTTGAAAGAGCATT